AGGCATCTTTCCTGAGCCCGAGCGGGACCCCGTGATCCAGATCTGCTCGCTGGGCCTGCGCTGGGGCGAGCCGGAGCCCTTCCTGCGCCTGGCGCTCACCCTGCGGCCCTGCGCCCCCATCCTGGGTGCCCAGGTGCAGAGCTACGAGCGGGAGGAGGAGCTGCTCCAGGTGACTCTCGTTCCGCGTCCCCCCTGTTTTCCTGAGCCCCCCCCCCCCAACCTTCATAGCCCAGGCTTGAGGCCGTTTTCTGAGCTCCTGTGATCCCGAGACTCACGTACAAGGGTTCAGACCCCTTAACACTGAGGGGTGAGCGGTTCTTTCCAGAAGCACCTGCCAGGTCTTTCTACCACGAGCGGGAGGGCGCCATGACTGCTCTTGGGGGCTTCCAGAACATTGCAGGAGCGGGGGGGGACCGGGGCGGGGGGGACCAGGAGGACAAGCAGAGTGACCCTGCGTGTGCCTCCGCCCCCGCCAGGCCTGGTCGACCTTCATCCGCACCATAGACCCCGACGTGATCACCGGCTACAACATCCAGAACTTCGACCTTCCCTACCTCATCTCCCGGGCCCAGCACCTCAAGGTAGGGCAGGCCACGGCGGGGGAGGCTCGCCTCAGACAGCGCCCTACACCTCCCCCCACCCTCCCTGTGGCCCTGTCCCCACGGAGGTCCACCTGGCTCTGCACCTGCCGCCCCAACGGCAGATCTTCTAGGCTTTAACATATGTGAGCAACAAATAAAGAAAGGGGGCCCTGGCTGGTTAGGTCAGTGGTTAGAGTGTTGGCCCATGGGCCAAAGGGTCACAGGTTCCATTCCCGGTCAAGGGCACGTACCTCAGGTGCAGGTTCCCCAGGGGGCACTTGCAATAGGCAACCAATCTATGTCTCTGTCATGTTGGTGTTTCTCTCTCTCCCCCTCCTCCCTCCCTTCTATCTCTCTCTCGCCCTCCTCCTTCCCCTCCGCTCTCTCTAGAAATCAGTGGAAAAAATATCCTCGGTGAGGATTAAAAAATAATAATAAATTAAATAAGAAGATGGGGTCCTGGCCAGTGTGGCTCAGTTGGTCGAATGTTGTCTTGTGCATGGAAAGGTTGCCGGTTCGATTCCCAGTCAGGGCACATGCCCGGGCTGTGGGCTCGATTCCTGGTGGGGGGCGTGCAGGAGGCAGCTGATCAGTGATCTGCTCTCACATCAGTTTCTCTCTCTTCCTATCCCTTCCTCTCTCTCTAAAATCCAATTAAAATAACCTTTTAAAAAACCAATAAGGAAATGGGGGTGTTCCTTGAAGTGTGTGGTGAAACCCGGATGCTTACTGAGTCCCGGCACAGGGTATGAGGTGTGTTAGTTCACCAGGGCTGCCTGGAGGCTGCAAGTCCAAGATCCGGGTGCCGCAGGCTCAGTGCCCTCTGAGGCCTCCTGGCATCTGGTGGCTCAGGGTTCCTGGGTTTAGATGGCGCTCTCCTGCCTCCGCTGCACCCGCCTCTGCGCCTGTCTGCTCAAATCGCCCCTTGTTCTCAGGATCGAGGCGTATTGGGTCAGGCCCCCTCCCTCTGCCCCGTTGCTCCAGCCCAGCTCAGGCCTCTGCTCTCTGCCTGGCCACTTCCAGGCCACTGTCTCCAGGGCAGACGCCTCTCCTGACCCCAGACCTGGTTCTCGGTGCCAACCCCGTGCTCCCACCTGGCCCTTCCCCAGGCCCCCTCCCCGTGCACCCACCACCTTCCCACTGAGCTGAGCGTCATCCCACCTGCTCCTCTGGCTCCCCATCTGGGGGCAGCCCTCCAGCCATTCGAGCCGTCCTTGCCCCCTTTACCCTCACAGCCCTCAGGCCCCTGGCTCTCCTGGTCCGGTCTCCCGTCCTCCCCTCTAGTCCACACCCGCCCAGCCCCGGCCCCTCCAGCCGGAAGAGCTGTGTTGTGGGGAGTGTCAGGGGTGGTCTGGTCTCCATTCCTCTGGCACAGGCCTGGGATCCCGGGTCAGGCGCCCGACCCCGTCTGCAGCTCCCACCTGCTGTGCCCTCAGGTGCAGGGGTTCCCCTTCCTGGGCCGCGTGGCTGGCCTCCGCTCCACCATCCGGGACTCGTCCTTCCAGTCGAAGCAGACTGGCCGGCGGGACAGCAAGGTGGTCAGCATGGTGGGCCGCGTGCAGATGGACATGCTGCAGGTACGGCCCGGCCGGGGGGCGGGCCTTGTCCTGGTGGGGCCGCTGCCCGGGGCCTGTGCCCACCCTGCGCCTCCGCCCCAGGTGCTGCTGCGGGAGTACAAGCTCCGCTCCTACACGCTCAACGCCGTGAGCTTCCACTTCCTGGGGGAGCAGAAGGAGGACGTGCAGCACAGCATCATCACCGACCTGCAGGTGAGCCTCAGCCGTGACCTCTGACCCCCCCTCCTACCCCTGGTCTCTCACCTCTGCCCCCATCTCTAACCTCTGACCCCACTTCCTGCCCATGGTCTCTCACCTCTGCCCCCATCTCTAACCTCTGACCCCACTTCCTGCCCATGGTCTCTCACCTCTGCCCCCTGTCTCTCACCTCTGACCCCACTTCCTGCCCCTGATCTACTCCTCTGACCTCAGCCTTCCTCCCGACTTCCTGACCTTGGGCTTCAACCTGTGCTCCTGACCTTCACCTTGACCTGCCCCTAACCTCTGACCCTGCCCTGCAGATGTCACTATTTCTGTCCACTTACATGACCAGATTCTGTTCTCGTCCACACCAGCCTTTCAGACTCCCTCCCACCTGTCAACTCCCTGACCTCTGCCTGCTCCCTGCCCAGACCCTGGCCCTCTCCCTGCCCCCCTGACGCCATCGGTGCCTGTCCCCAGAACGGGAACGACCAGACGCGCCGCCGCCTGGCAGTGTACTGCCTCAAGGATGCCTTCCTGCCGCTGCGGCTGCTGGAGCGGCTCATGGTGCTGGTAAACGCCATGGAGATGGCGCGCGTCACCGGCGTGCCCCTCGGCTACCTGCTCACCCGCGGCCAGCAGGTCAAGGTGGTGTCGCAGCTGCTGCGGCAGGTCAGTGGCAGAGCCCAGGGCGGGTCTCGGTCCCTAGCGGCAGCCCCTCCCTCTGCCTGTTCCCATGGGGCTGCCCTGTCCGCGCCCACCCTCCGTTTCCTGCCTTCTCCCCGCCCAGGCCATGCGCGAGGGGCTGCTGATGCCCGTGGTGAAGACAGAGGGCGGCGAGGACTACACGGGAGCCACGGTCATCGAGCCCCTTAAAGGGTGAGACCCTGGGCCGGGCGGGGCTGGTGTGGGGGTGGCGAGGGGTCTCGCCCTGACTGCTGGCACTCCCAGGTACTACGACGTCCCCATCACCACCCTGGACTTCTCCTCGCTGTACCCGTCCATCATGATGGCCCACAACCTGTGCTACACCACGCTCCTGCGGCCCGGCGCCGCCCAGAAACTGGGGTACGGCACCCTCGGCATGAGGGCCCCAAGACCGCCAGGGCCGGGCTCAGGCAGGGTGGGGTGGGGAACAGAAATAGTGGGGAGGGGAGGGGCAAGAGTGGGGGGCCGAGGAGGAGGCCGGGCGTCACCCCTGCCATCCCCCGACCCAGCCTGACTGAGGACCAGTTCATCAAGACGCCCACCGGGGACGAGTTTGTGAAGACGTCGGTGCGGAAGGGGCTGCTGCCCCAGATCCTGGAGAACCTGCTCAGCGCCCGGAAGAGGTGGGCTCCGGCGCCCCCGCCCACCCCTGCTCAGAGCTCGGACCTGCTGAGGCTCCTCATGGGTCACCCTGTCCCTCGTGGGTCCCCGCGCTGCGGGGCACCTTCACTTTGTGTGGGAATTAGAACGAGTCGCCCCCTCCGGCAGCTCCCCCTCACCCCTGTGCCTGCTGCCCCTGTGCCTGCCGCCCCTGTGCAGTACACGGCACACACAGCCATGCACGCACCCCTTCCCAGAGAGGCGCCCTGACCGCGTGCCCAGACCCGGGCCTCGTCTCCCCGAGACCTGGGTGCCACCTGAGTGCCCGTGCTTCCCCTCCTCCCAGGGCCAAGGCCGAGCTGGCCAAGGAGACAGACCCCCTGCGGCGGCAGGTCCTGGACGGGCGGCAGCTGGCGCTGAAAGTGAGCGCCAACTCCGTGTACGGCTTCACCGGCGCCCAGGTGGGCAAGCTGCCGTGCCTGGAGATCTCCCAGGTGAGTGCCCAGGCCTACGGCGGGCAGCTGGGGTCGGACAGCGCCTTCTGGGAGAACCAGGGCCCTCGGGAGGGGCCGCCTCCGGAGGTCGGGCCCAGGTCACCCACTCGCCGGCCTTTGGGAGAGGGTGCTTGAGTGATGGGTCCGTTCCGTTGTTCACCAAATGCTTGCCAACGGTTGGGCCTTGTGCCCTGTGGGTCCAGCAGGTGGCAGGGCCAGTGAGAGTCCCTCGTGCAGTGCCCAGCCCATCGGGGACACAGCCCGTCGGCGGGAATGTGTACAGGAAGGCAGTCGTTGCCAGGGCCCTGCAGACACATGGGCAGGGGAGGAACCGGGTGGGACAGGGCAGGGCAGGCAGAGGCTGAGGGCCGCGGGGGAGAGCAGCGGCTTTGCTCATTCTTCATCCGCCACCGTCACCCCCATGTCCCCAGCAGCTGCACCCTAGCCCACATCCTTCCTGGTCCCCATGGGGGTGGGGGAGTGGCGGGCAGGCCCCCCTCCCTCCTGCTCATGGGAGAACAAGGCCAGTCTCTGCTGGGGGTGGGGGCCCGGGGCAGGGCTGGGGGTCACCCAACAGCACAGTCAGGCTCGCCCTTGGGTTGCTGTGTGTCCTTGGTCACCGTCAGATTAGACAGGAGGGTCCCCCCTCCAGCTGTGAGGTCCCCCCAGGGATGTTGAGTGGGTGCTCGGTTAGTGCTCTGCGCTGAGAAGGAACTGGGCCCGTGGCCTCCCTCCCCACCCCCAGTAGCATCCTAGGCCTGTTTACCGGAGGCAGCTGTGCTCCTGGGACAGGAAAACAGATCCCCAGTGAGACCACAGAGGCTCTGAGGTTCTGCCCAGCTGGGAGCAGCGCCTCAGCTCACGGCCCAAGAGGTCCTTTGAAAAGTCTTCCTGTCCAGACTTGGTTACCTCCAGCCATGGGGAGCTCCCTCCCTGCCTGGCCATTGTGTCAGGCCTCGTGCACCTCTAGGCGAAAGGCTTGGAGGAATCCCCACCCACCTGCAGTTCAGTGGTGCCCCCGAGACCCCTCAGATCCAGTGATTGACTAGAAGGATTCAGAGAACTCAGAAGAGCCATTTACTCACAGTTATGATTTGATACAGTGAAAGGAGAGAGATTAACATCAGCCAAAGAGGGAGGCCCGTGGAGCAGGGTCCGGGAGACCAGGCACAGTGGGTCGTGCGGACTGCTTATTCCTCCCGTCGTGGTGCGTGGTAGCATCCCCGGGGTGAGGCCCACAGGGTGGCTCGGCCCGCCAGTGTTTTTATTGGAGGCTGGTCCCGGAGGCATGGCTGACCCCTGTGTGGCTGACGGGGTCTTCAGCCCATGTCGAGGTCAAGCTGATACCTGTGGCCCCAGGTGAACAGACTGATCAGGCAGGACATTCCAAGGGCGAGAAGCTCACTCCCAGGGGCTGACCAAACGCCATTGACCACCCAGTCCCGGGGCCTCCCTCAGCCCCTGGGTCTTTGGCCCTTAGGCTTTAGCCCCTGAGCAAGGCCCGGTGGGAAAATGCGGCTCTGCTCCCCCGGGGATCTGGGGCTCCCTCAGTGGGGACTGCCGCTTCCTGGCCTTGTCGCTGCGTCTTTTCCCTCTCGGTTCCTTCCCTCTGTTTCTTAGCTTCTTTCCTTATTTCTGTCTCAAGTTTTGGGGAGCAGGGAGATGGAATAATTTAAAAATACGGAATCATTCCAGAAAAAGATAGGAAAGCAAAGGGAACATGGAACGGGTGGAACAAATAAAAGACTGATTAAGTGGTGGATTGAAGTCCAGATCTAATGAGTAATTACACTAAATGTAAGTGGCCTAAATGCTCTAGTTGAAAGACAAAGCTTTTCTGACTGGATCCAAACAAACAAAAACAGAAGAGTCACACCCGTCTTTCCATACCTGTGCCCCTCCTCCCTCCCCAAGCCTCACTTTCCTTATTTGTAAAGTAAGACTGTTGGAAAGGTATGTTTCTTCATGGAGCTCGTGCAAACCCCTCCCTGGGGGCACTGGGCTGTGCAGTGTCATTCCCAGTTGCCCAAAGATGGGGGGTGGGGGAGGGAGGCATTGCTGACTTGGGGGGAGGGGCCATGAATATCAGTGGTCACAGCACCCCCGTGGAGAGAGACCCCGAGCTGACGCTGCTTCTGGCTCCAGCACCTCCACTCGATGCCGTCCTCCCTCCTCCGCCAGGAGCCCGCTCCTCCCAACAGACCGCTACGGACCAGCTCAGTAGCCCCACTTGACAGATTTGGAAACGGACGCACAAAGGGATAGAATGGCTTGCCCAGGCCCACACCTACAAGGAGCCGTGGAGGTGGGCCCCCAAGTGCGTGTCCGCTACACACGGCTCCTGGGCCCTCACCGCGTGATTCTCTCCCCAACAGAGCGTCACGGGGTTTGGCCGCCAGATGATTGAGAAAACGAAGCAGCTGGTGGAGTCCAAGTACACAGTGGAGAACGGCTACAGCGCCAGCGCCAAGGTCAGGGCCACCCCGCCCGCTGCCCGATGGGCCTGGGATGGGCCTGGTGCGGGGAGCACGGGCCCTCGGTCACACGCCCCTCCCCGCCAGGTGGTGTACGGCGACACCGACTCCGTCATGTGCCGGTTTGGCGTCTCCTCCGTGGCGGAAGCGATGGCTCTGGGCCGGGAGGCTGCAGACTGGGTGTCCGGCCACTTCCCCTCCCCCATCCGGCTGGAGTTTGAGAAGGTAAGGCCCCTCGCCCTGGGCTTGGGGTGGGCAGGTGAGGGCCTTGGCAGTTTCGGGGGGCTCTTTCTCAGGGTGCCTGCAAAGCTCACAGGTGCCTACATTTGGGGTTCCCCTGGTCAGCATCTGGGAAACCCCAGTCTTTGCAGGGTCTCCCTTTTGGGGCGCCCGATCGGGGTACTCGGGGGGTCCCGTTCTTTGGGTTCATGGGCCCCCGCGTCAAGGTATTTTGCTGCCGGATCCTCCTGAGTTTGGGGCCTTGGCTATCGAAACCGCCACAGCCTGGGCTCCGCACGCTGCGTGCTGTTTTGTAACAACCGGTCCGTCTCGGGGCGCCTCTGGTGTGGTTTCCCAGCACCTGTCGGGGGGTCTGTCCTGGGTGGCGGGGACTCTGACGGGCCAGGCCTGGGTCAGGGAGCCGTTGTCTGGGGTTCCCGGCTCCTGGTGTGTGGCAGGCTGGGTGGGGGGCTCTCACCGGACTTTGTCCTCAGGGTTCAAACCAGGTCAGGCCAGGGGCACCCCTGCTCTTGGAATCAGAGCCTCCCAGTTTGGGAGGTCTGTGCCTCGGGGCTCACTCCGGGCCTTGGCCTCCTCTCTGGGGGTGCCCCCTTCTGCCTCAGCTTCTGCCCCAGACCCAGATTTGGGGCTTTCAAGGCTTTAGCCCAGAGTCTGGATCTCATGTTTGGGGCCTGTTTCTAGGTTTGTCCCAGCCTCTGTTTTAGACTTGGGGACCCTGGTCTGGGGTTCCCGGGAAAGCTGAGGGTGTTCCCGGGCTCAGGTGTTGGGGTCTCAGGGTCCAGTCCCCCAGGCATCCCAACCCCACACCTCAGGAACCATACCTGCCTGTCACTTTCTGGGGGGTCTCAGGATTGGACACCCTGCAGTCTCAGGGGCCTCAGCCACGGGTCCCCCCCAGGTCTACTTCCCTTACCTGCTCATCAGCAAGAAGCGCTATGCTGGCCTGCTCTTCTCCTCCCGGCCCGACGCCCATGACCGCATGGACTGCAAGGGCCTGGAGGCTGTGCGC